GGGCATGCAGTAATTGATTTGCTCAACAGACGATATTTTCCATTATCTCCCGCCAAATGACAAACAGGTAAACTATTGCTTTCGTCATATAGAACATTCAGAAAATAACGGATTTGATTCCTGTCTTTGAATCGCGCTCTTTTGCAATTTTTCGCGTTGCAGTTTTTGCAGGGGAAATTATGCATGGAAAGAGCAGATTCAAATCAATCCTCATCCTTTGCGTGAATTTGCTATGAAGACACTATGCTAAATTATCTGGCGATCCAAATAAGCATCAAAAACATTGCCAGCAAGCATTTTGCACTTCTTGGATGTACCCATATGCTCAAAGGCAGTGTCCAGGCTAAATCCAGCCCTTTGCGATTAGTGCCGATCCTGAATGTAGCCCCTAAGAGAACCATTTGCGTTGTTCCGGTCCTCTAATGTTATCTTTGAATGGAGATAATGGGCCTGGAACAGCGAAGGTGCCATCGCTCCGCCCTCATGTACTGAAAGCCCGCGCTCTCAAAACAGGGTACCCAGAAATCGGGTTTTTTGGGGGTTTTGGGCAATCTGAACTTCATAACTGTGACCAGAGCTACGGGAAGGCCCCAAAATGGCAAAATGTGAGGAGCGAAATTTTGGGTGGGCGCTGCCTTCAAAGTTACATCCGTTTGAATCGCGTTACCTGCTTGAAAATTATCTTTACAATCTACCAAAAAATCTACTACCCTTTTCGGTTTTCCTTAGAGGATTGTGAATGCCTTCACTTGTTCTAGCATAAATGTGAAATCTCTATATAATGGGATGTCACAATAAGAATCTATTGGCAGAGTTTGTCGTAGTTCACGTATAGACCAGCAAAAGCTGGGAACGAATTTCTGCAAAGTTTTCCACAACTTTTTTGAGAAAGACCGAATGTTATAACAGTTTCGAATTTTTATTGCTATAAACTGCAATGCCTTGCAAGTATAAGTAAGGCGAATTACGTTTAATTATAATGTTAATTAAGTTTTGAAAATGCAAGCAAAACGATAAATCTTCTTTTCCTTATCATATTCGTGGTTGCAGCCAAAACTTCTAGCGCGGGACATCTGTAATAACTCTATTAAATGAACTACCAAGTTTCGAACATCGATGTACTTGAGAGAGTACTTGGTAAATACCCTGTACCCTGTACTGTAAGTTGTCTTTGACACGGAAACAGGACACATATACTAGTATTCTTAATGCAGTTGCCTCAAGAAAATAGAAAATAGAATAATGTTAATAGTTCACAAAGTAACTAATGTTTCTCTCCATCATATCCTGAGGACAACTAAGTCTATTGAAAACAGGTGAGAAAATTTGCAAAGCAAAAACTAAAAGGCTGTTAGATGTCTATGCCAGCTCTCAACAAGAAGTTATAATGCTTCAAAGGGTACTTACCGAAAGAATTTGTTGTTTAGCTTTCTTGACAGCCTTTTCAAGCATCATTTGAGCAGTCCCCTCCGATCCAAAGGTAGCATCCACTACTTTCTATAACATCTTAAATGGTTTCGTAAAACTTCGCTACTTTCCTTCTACCCAGTGCTCCTTTCCAGAGCTGGTTGGACCGTAAGCTGCTATGTACTGGAAGTAATGCTCAACTTTGATGATCCAGAGCAAAGCAGGTAGTTCCAGATAACAGTCGTATCTCTGCAAAATGGTGTTTTTTTTTTGTTTCGACAATTAAAATGCAAAGTAGAGCTGACAGGTCTCCTTTTTGGCAGATAACCAAGAACTGCTCCAGCAAGAAGATTTCGCTCTTTCTCCGAAAGCCCAGCACGTCCCAATCTACATTTGTACTGCTGCTTCTTAGCACGTGCGGGTGAGATGTGGACGGCCTCTTCAACAATTCCAACAAGCATTAGCTGAAGCATGCCTAATTTAGCACAAAATAGTGTCTTATAGTAAGATGAGCTACATGTAGATCACACGCCATGAAATCACTACTCTCGCTTCTATCTATATCAAACACCAGATACCCTGTCTCAAATTCTTCTTA